CGCTATGTGACTCTATACCGCTTTTCAAAGTCCTGGGTAAGGATAAATGATCATCAGAAATACCCGGTGGTTGTAGCAAAATGAACCGTAGTATTACAAACTGACTAAATGTGTTAGATCTAACGACATTCACAGCATTTAGAATTACGAAATACATATGAACTAAGTGAGTGAAACAAACATTGACCAAACTTGTGCCCATCTTCGCGACACACATCTCAATTCAATGAATTATTTGCGTAAATGAATTAACCTATTGTGTCATTGAATATGAAAAGAAGAATTCGACGAAGAAAATTTTATTTTTGATGGAATTATTTACTTAAGCCGCACATTCGTATTTATAGTTATGTGGAAAATATACTTCTGTAGAAGGATAGAAAAGAATGCATCATAAATTGATTCGAGACTAAATATCAAGTGAAGCTACGCAATAATCAACGGGTAAGGAAGGAATACAAGTATGAAAACAGTTTGTGGTTCAAATAATTGTCCAATTAACAGATATGAAGAAGAACGACAAACACAAAGGTCGTAATAATAAACTGAAAAATAATCAGGAAAACTTGTTTAAAGGTAGTAATAATAATAACTGGTTACAATTTAAAATTACACAACACTCATTTATAAAATCAATGATAATAAAACGAAAGATGAGAAAAGGGAGGGATGAACTGAAACATACTACTAAAGGAAACTAGGGCCAAGGAGGGATGAGAAGTTGAACAAGCCGTTTCCACACTCAAACGTCGGGCTTGAGTTGGTGTATTGCAAATACCTCATCAGTGAATAAAATATTTATCCGACATCCCTTCTACCCAATGCCTTTGACTGTGTAGATTACCTTGAGAGAAGACTCTTTTGAAGCGATGTGTCCACAGTTGATTAAACGCTCTTGTATAAAACTAGTAATTATTTTACATTCACATTTTAAAAGCCATTCCGGATAGTGTTCTGCGATGCGATTGTAAAGTGATCGCTTTGTGCGGCCAATGTACCCGCTCCACACGAGCAACTAAATTCGTAGATACACACTGATGTGGCCCAAGGCGGAAGTTTATCCTTTACACATCCATGAATTTTAGGCCAGATTGAAAAAACAACTCGGAGCTTAGCTACGTGGAACTTTCTATTCAACGATTTCGAACTCCATTTATTTAGGATTTTAGAAGTCGTATCTTTTTTAAATTCCATATTCATAAAAAGGGTTTTCATTTGTACTGCCAATGTACCTGTGATTAATGAAGTGTTAAAAAACCGACCGAGACTCAAGCATTTTTTCCGGAATCGCCAAGGAAATAGGTGTTCAGTTACTCCAGTACAACATTATTGATCATGTAGTGACCTACGTTTACCAAGAGAACGCGATTGGTGTAGTGGAAACATTTATTATTATAACCAATTGTACCAGTGATTGTTTTACTGTACGTATTTGTTTACCTGTACCGAAATACATGCATTCTTTCGTGAATTGTGACCTTGCATGAATTCGGTTACTCTCAGTAACCCCACTTGTAACCTGGCATCATCTCTGTATTCTTTCAATACCACGCGATCGCCAACAAATACATCCCGACTACAGACATCATCTGCTTTCTGATACTTAGCTTACAGGCGATCTTATCGTTTAACTGGCTAGTCTTTCTGTAGTGGTGATCATAATCAACCGCTACTCGACGCCACAATACAACTATTCAGCCATAAGTATTATCTCTTTGTCCTAAATTTTGCAGTACTCTAATTAACATTAATGAAATCAACGCCAAGTTCCAGTTTGAAAGCCACATTCGTCAGAAAAGTGATCTCACTACAGTATCTAATAAAGATTATGGGCATTTTAAAAAGAACTCTTGTATACTGCCATAATCAGAATTTGAATAAAATACCTACAATTAGTCGATTGCTGACAAAAGAACGTGAATCTCAAATATCTGATCTTCGGAGAAATCAGGATTTAGTGTTATGTCGGCCAGACAGAGGTGCAGGAATTATTCTCCTGGGATCGTCTTGACCATGTCACCAAACAATCTTTGATATTATCTTATCCTGTCAAATTCTTCAAAAACCTGTTCAAAAAGACGATGAATGTAAAGAACTGAGCCACAGTGTTAACATCCTCTACTTGTGCATTGGTCATAACCCAGATTCCGAACCTTTCCATCTAATCATCAAAAGTATCAAGATCTGAATGTATGTCAAACCGTTTTATCACAAGATCCACTGGGACGTCAATGTGATAATTTGGAGTATTTGAATTATAGTACAAAGTGAGAATCCCAGAAATAACGCCATTTAACAGGAGAGTAATAAATGAGCACGTCGTAATTAAATCCTCAAAATAAACATTTCTGTAAGTCCTCGACATTTGATGCTAACCGCACTAGTTTGACTGAACTCGCCTAGGTGAAGGCGCTCGGTCACACATGCGCACCAGATCGCGAGTGGATACGCCGTGCTACACATCTCCCACAACCGTTGGCGAGCTTAGATCAGAAACTTCTCGATATGTCCACAGCCTCTCAAATATAACTTCAAACCCCTTCACTTCTAACTTCTGATTCGACTAGATTGGCATACCTCGATTATAAAACGTGCCACTGGTGAAGGTGTTGTTAAACTTCGAATAATTGTGGTAATTTTATCCCAACTGTATAAAAATGTTATGATAGTTGATCAGAAACACTTGAAAATATATAAATATACGACTCAGAACCTTTACTTCTTGTTAAAGTTTTGAATCTTATGATTATTTGTTTGGTGGTAAAACATTTTGAAGTGCAATTCCTAGATCATCTGTCTATCATAGCCTCAGTATTGTTAGAAAAATATATACTTTGATAGTACCTACTCATATAGTTCCATACATTATCTACAGTAATTCCGAAAACAATATCTAACATATGCCGGATATGGGACCTGTTCATGTAATTGGTGAAACTGAATTTTAATTGATGAGTAACCTCAGGCCAAGTAAGATGCTGCGCCCTGATGAGCTACAACTACGATTGCTGTCATCTCTAAAGGATATTAATTCAAAGTCACTCACGATACGCTTTAACATGAACCTTCCCTATACTCGGCTACCCAAGGATTGTAAAGATGGTATAGTTAGTCCTACATTTTGTATCTAACTACAGACCTGTCAGTCTAACGAGCGTAGTAGTTAAGTCATCTGAACAGATTATACGGGCTAAGTTACGAAGTCACATAAAATTATACATCCTATTGGCTCCCGAGCAACACAGGTTTCGAAACAAGCATTCATGCTTGTTCAACTTAGTTATTGAGAGAGGATTGGATGGTAGCCCTAGAAAACGTTCTGTCTGTTGGTGTGATATTCATGATATTCATTTAACAAGGTCTAATGCAGCAGCTCTCGAGCCTCAGAACAACAGTTTCTGTATAGAGTAAGAAACTTTTTATGTGGCCAAAGACAAAGTGTGGAGGTAACTAGGACACTATTTAAACGAAAATCGGTCAAAAGTGGGTTATTCCTAGGTATTATCTTAGGTCCCCTAACTTTCCTTCTCTACGTCAATGAATTTCCGCTATGGCTAAATTCGTCGACATTTATGTTTGCGGATGATGTCAAAACCTAGAGAACAATAAGTGCGGTTGATCATTATGATCTGCGAACTGACCTACACAAAGTGGTTAGATGGAACCGAGGTTGAGACTTAAAAGTTAATTCCAAGAAGGATGTGTTCATGCGTATAGGACACGGTAACAATTGCCAGTTTACTGTTGACAGTACATTTCCTTCGTGCGTGTAGGAACGTAAATATTTCAGTGTAATGCACTCCAACGCAGCATCTGGCAAAACGTTTCATGCTTTATGGTCACTTAGCCAAACATTCAACTTATTTGACGAGATGCTTCTAATTTCATATCCCGCCTGCGTAAGACCACATTTAGAGTATTGTATTCAAGCAGCTAGTCCAAGTCAGATTAAGGTCATTTATTCACGTTAGCCTGTTCAACATGAAAAATGAAATTATTGAAGAGTCCTTCAAAGCTCCCTTACGACGAGAGTTTGAAAATCCTAGACTTTTACCCTTATCGCGTCGAAAAACGCGGTGACCTGATTTTGACGTGCCGTACCTTTAATTACGATTCGAGTGTTAATATCTTACATCTTTTTGCTCCTTACGGCATAAACAATCTTCGGGGCCGTAGCAAGAAGGTTCAACAACCGCGATCTAATAAACTAAGAATAGGGTACCATTTTTCTGACTGAACGGTTAATAACAGAAAATCCTTACCCGAACAAATTGTGTAAGCCCATGCAGTAAGCATTTTCAAGAAAAAATTGAACCTCCACTAAGAAACAAACTTAGAATTTACACAGGTCCAACAACCTGATATCTTTATTACCGAAGACTGACACCAGATGATTTATAATTACTGGTAAATACGAAAGTCTAGTTCATAAGCTTAGAATGTATCGATGCGAACCCCTAAACTGTTGATGTTATGTAAATATATATACAATCAAGTGTAAACTAATTTCAAATACTGCTCATCACTATCATTTGTGTTTTGAATTTGTTATGTTGATAAGTAACACCTATACACTAAATTCAACTTGTATTGAGATATTCCCAAAACGTTGTTTGAATGAGTACTTTCAGTGACTCACGAAGGTCATACGTTTGGGAAAATTTTCCAATACTGGGTTTGCGCTAGGTCAAAGACGTTACATATTAGCAAATCGCTTACTGGAAAAGTATGAAATTACAGACTGTTAGTGGTGAGACCATAGTTTATGGACGACTTTTGAGCGACACTAAAATGACCTTGGGAATGTCTACCTAATTATAAGGGCTAAATGAGGGTTATAACAGGTTTATATATAAACCAAGTGAAGTATAAGAACTATGATTAACGATGGGTGGTTAAGGTTAGGAATCATATTTAGGGTTTTATTCATGGACTGACACCAGCTTAAATGCCGAAGCGTTGTTTAGCTAAATAGGTGAATGAATTTCGCGTCAAAACACAAAACTTGTTATCGTAAATGTGATTGGTTCGTCCATGAATTGTAGTCCTGCGTAATGAACTCTCATTCGTCACGAACTTAAATCAGTTGAAATTGAAGGATGGATATCAGTTTGATTCGTCTCTATACTTTACTTCTTCCCAATGTTTTTGCTCGTCCTATTTTAGTGGTTGATTAGGTGTTAATAATATTCACTGTAATCTTTATCCATCATTTTCTTTTGTTTTATCTTAAATACTTTCATGCTAAGTGAATACATGCCATGCGTTATATCTTGAGCTGTCTTCCGCAATTAACGTTTCACCATCAATCTTAATGAAGCGAAGGTTTTGCGAAGCGTGCAATCTCCGAATGCATTTTGAAGGGCCATATATCCACCAATATCTTTTTCTATGTCAGCTCTATTCTCTACGTATTCAACCAGTTTAATTGCGATCCCAAGTTTTTTCGTCTCAGATGTCAAGCCAGCATTATATTTAGACTCATTTGTGTAGTAAGGACAGACAGCCTGTTATTCCTTTATTAGTATGCTTCTGTGAGTGTCTAGTCTTTTCTTGAATTAGTCAATTGAAGGTGCGGACAGAGGTCCCAAGAATTGATGACTTGGTGTAAAAAAGCTGTCTATCACGGGTATTTTGTTCGTTCTTGGCTTTTCTACTTGCCTGCTATGTCTTTTGAGATGTCCCGATCTAATGGGAAGAAAAGAGAAGACGTATTAGAAATTATTTCCTAATATTCTGTACATCGAAATCAGATCACCTCTTAATCTGCGATAGGACAGAGTAAAGAGGTCTAGTTTTTCAAGTCGCTCTTTTTATGGTAAACCCCAGAGTTCTGAAATTGCACAGGTAGTTGCCCTCTAATTTTTCCAGGATATCTGCGCCACCTTTTAAACAGGAGCTTGCAGCCTGAACATAGCCTTCAAGCTTAGTTCTCACTAAGGTTGTGTATACTGTACTGAACATAGTAGTATCTAACTTGGTGAATGTTTGTCTTAGAGCCCACAGGGTTCTAAACCTCTTATCTGCAACCTCCTGGCAGTGGGCTGTGGTCTTAAGATCATGACTCACTGTGATTCCAAGATCCTTGTGAGACCGGACCACGGGTACAGACACTTTCCCTATGCTGTACCTTTGCATCTCCAAAGTTCATGTAGATACACTTTGCCACATTGATAGGCATCAGCCTCTCTTTAGACCAGCTTATCACAATATTTAAGTCTGACTGAAGTGCCCATGCATCTGTGTCTCCAGTTATTTCTCGCCAGGTTTTTACATCAGCGTATAATAACTTTAGGGATTTAACTATACTTGGGTAATCATTTACATACAGCATAAAAAGTAAGGGGCCTAGGACTAAGCCACTAAGTACTGTTCTTCAGGTGGAGCACTTCGAATTTACTCTTACTTTCTGTCTACGACCTACTAAGAAATCAGTGTTCACAAACTAGATGTGGTTTAGTGTATATGTCCGCTGATTTTCCGCGGATCTTATTAGTTGTTCATGGTCACTTAGAAGTATATCCACATTTGACCTTAATAATTACATTTTCACATCATCTATGGTAAGTACTCCGACTAAATATTTAATGTTTGTCGTCAGAGGTGTTAGTCGTGATATTATTTATTTTAATTGAGCTCCCAGTCTTAGCTTTCGAACTCCGACTTTGTTACTTCTGAGGTATCATGACGTTTGTGAAAACTAGCTGTCACCTCTCTGATCGTATCACTTGCTGAATGTTTAGAATTGTGCATTTAACATTGTACACATACGGAGCCCCATATTTATGTCTCACTGATATTCTGACAAACACTGGCTTCTGCTAACCTTTATGTATTTCCTGACATAATATTCTGTCTTCAGTAACAAGGATAGTGGATTGGTTGACTTGCGTTAATCCTTGTGGTGTTTCCCGGTTGGGATCCAGCTTCTCTGAGAGCTCATTGATGTTGCCGATACCACTGTCCAGGTAGGGGGTTCCAATCGTTTACCACTCAGTAAGGGAAACAGAATCCCATCCTGAGTCTATTCGGTTGCAGCTTATGAGCCTTTTTCTATTACAACTAGGCTGTTCGTCTCTAAAAGTAGCAAAATGGCAAATCTACACTCGAATCATTATTTAAAATACGAAATGCCAATATAAGATCGCCTTGCATTCTGCCACAATATAAGGAGAAAAGGCCTGAGTAGAGGTCTGTCATTAACTTAGTTCCCTGAAGTTGTATGTACTAGGATGTGTCAATACCCTTAAAAAGACACGAATTAGCTGTTTGAGTACAGTATTCTAGACGAAGTCTTACATAAGTGGATTAGGTAACCCGGAAGATGTTTATTTATTTGAACACAAATATTGGTACAAAAGGGCACAGGATACATACGTGCCACTTGATTTGTGTGTGGGCTGTGATACTTCCCGGGTGTCCAGATCGGAGCAGGTGGTTTTCAGAGCGAGCTACACCCAAAGTCTTCGACCTGGAGGTCTGATCCACAAGAGAGTGGGGCAACGTCAGGGGATGCAATCACATGGTAGCCGGTGACCAACAATTGGTTCATACGACATTTGTTCCCTCAGGATCCTGGAACCCATGTGCATGATTGGTTTGGAATCAGGGTTTTCCGACTATCTCAGGTGGACCCTCCGTGTTCACTAACCCGGTTAAAGCTCCAGACATTCGCTTTTCGTCTTCTTAATTTCGTAAACAACAGCTGCGAGAAGGCAGCGAGTAGGCCTTTTGGGGCAGTGGTTGTATGTGTGGCCATGTGAGAGCACTTCAAGAAGGAGAGCTAACTCTCCACTGTTGGCCGTACCAGGGCATTTGGGAGCATCTTTGTCAAAGCACTTAAAACCGGGGAACGGCCATAACACTCGAAAACGTTAAATAGATTCTGCCTTGTAGTGCACAGTTGTTTTCAAGTCATGACTCTTGGATCTTTTTACCTAGTTCGATCTGATTGCATCTTTTTCCACCAGGTTTTCTCTTAACCACTTGCATTGAGATATTCTTTTATTCCGTCTGTTGGTACTTATCGCGGTTTCAGTGCTGATAGTGGTCATCATCATTCCAACAGCTCTCAATATAGCCTTAATTTCAGTCCTCTTCTGCCTAAGTTATTGCTTTAAGAAAGCTGTCACTGAATGTAATAACTGATGCAAATACTTCAAGTGCATGTGTACCGTTTATTCCCTCGTCGTTTAACGTTCTCCTCTAATGTTCGGTGTGGGCCACCCGGGCAGTATCATAGCCCACGCACAAATGAAGTGACTTGTGTGGAGCATATGTATTCGGTCCCCCTTTATACCAATATTTATGTGCTCAAATAAATAATAAATAAAATCGTTGTCTTATAAACTCGTGCTCATTATTCCAGTAGAGTATTTCTAATCCACTCCTTTTCTGTCAACCTTTAAAATATAAGTGTATTCATCCTGGGATATGGTATCACCGTCGAACTAAGCCGTTGGGCCGAGGTTATCTCAGTTACATCCCCATCAGCCGTTATTTATTTTGCTAAGTCAGTATATATACAAACAATTAAAGAGAATGTCGTTTAATTGCCTCTTTACGCCTCGAAAAATTGGATACAATATGCTCTTAGTAGTTAGCTTTATGACCAACTTAATAAATATTGCGCTTACATCTAGGGACTTGAATGGACATATCTGGCGTTTAAGTAGAAAGAGTATCATATAGGTAGTTGGTAACTTGTATGTATCTATTATTCACTCTTTTATTAATCTTGTTCAATTGGTTTGCTGTTTTAGGAATTATCTTCAACATTTTGGATAAAATGTGGCAGTCTTATTTTCTTGACATGTCAAACCTCCTGCCTAATTTTATTGATGCGTGTTTCACGTTCAGTCCAGAATTCGGAGTTATACTCAGCTTCAACGGTTGTTGTATGTAGTGAATTTCTAAAACTTCTACTGTCGATATTTTTGATTTTATGCCAAGAAGGTAAATACTGTTTAATAAACATATTTCTTTAAATATTTTAATTGTGCTAGTTTCTACGAAATGTTTCGCTTATTGATTGTGCACGTAGCTTTATCCACTGACTTGCTCCACTTTCACGTTAATTTAGGCTAACACATTCAAGCTAATCACTTATGTGCATTTATAATATTGTTTACCTGTTTCAAGTCAGTTAATTAGTAGTACAATACTTAAAAAAATTGTGTGTATACTAAAACTGTGATAGAAAACGCTAAATATGTTTGTCGGGATCCAGTGTAATTGTAACCTTAGTTTTCTAAAGGTCTTTTTCAAAGCATCGACTTAACATTTAACTCCTAAATTGTGTATATTTATCAGGTGAAGCTTAGTGTTTTTCACAGATTGAATCAAATTTCGACAATATTAAGCGCTTCCAGTATACACGAATTCAAGTAGTACAATAATTCATTAATTATTTCATTCTGTTTAGTGCTATTCCAAAAGCGCATGTGGAACTATTTTCTGCAATATTTAGTCAGATAAGCGAATCCAGATTAAAACCCACATTGTGTTGTAACATCATTTGTCGCAAACTGAAGAAATTTACACAAATAACGAAATCAGAGCCGTATACCTAACTTCATGAATAGTTTGTACAAATTGTTAATAAAAAGACGCAAATTCAATGAATCCATTTAATTCTCTGCTTCCTCTTCAGTTTCAAATAACCTAAAATTATGGTAAACCATTATATGTAGTAATATATGCTTCCGTGTCTATTACTTACAATACATCCTAGTCTTTATTTATTTACTGCTGAAGGAAATTTGTGGAGTCAGATATATTCATCGAGTTCTCTAAGCCTGTTTTTTTATAATGAGACTCTAAAACGAGAGGTCGTGAAATACAAAAGCCGTTTCTTGTTACTTATAAAATACGTTATGATTATTTTGTTTTAGAATCAATAATATATTGGTCGACAAAAGCATCTAACTATGTAGACGTTCTTGAATATTGAGTACCACCTAGATACTACTTTCAGGTTTGTGTACCTGGGCCATGAATTCATATATGGGCTATATACATGCCCAAGACTCAATAATTGAAGTTCATTTCCAACTTAAAATATAGAAATAAATTCCCTGAACTCACCAAACCACAGCTTGATCTTTTCAAAAATGTTATCGGAATAAATTCACATGTTTATTCTGTGACTACATTTTCTGAATTCATTATCAAACTCTTGACTGTTTCATTCTTTTTTCCTTATACTTCAGGTGAAATTAAACGTAGTATTTCATCAATCTATAATCAAATAATTGTTCAGTATAATGATATGATTCAAATTTTAATTCCCTCAACTCTTTATATTGTACAGAATAATTTACTATATTTTGCCATTTCACATTTGAATGCTGTTTTATATCAGATACTTTATCAGAGTAAAATATTCACTACTGCTATATTTATGATATTATTGTTAAATCAGCGCCTACGTTCAACTCAATGGTTTGCTCTCTTATTACTCAGTACGGGTATCATCTTCACACAGGTAAGGTTTCACAATAAATACTGTATACTCTGCTATTTTCTGCAGTGCTGCTTGCTCTCCAAGTAGTATAATTAGCCTCATTCTGTTGAAAGCTTTTCTCTTTTGTGATTAAGTGTTCTGTAATGGTTGTAATAGGCCTAACATTGAAGCATGAAACACACCCTATCGCCCGAAACGTTTAATTTCTATACGTCTGTTTTTTTTTTCTAAGTTACTCCATGTTTCAACTTAGGTTGACGCACATTTATCTCAGGTTTTATGTTGATTATAGAATGGGTATTCCAAATTTATCACTCTTTTAGAGACTACAGATGCTTGAATTTATGGGTCACTCAGGAACTGATACAAATGTGCTCTGCTTAAACCTACAGTCATAATCAAGAATGAAACTGATCTACAGGCATTTCATATTGATAAAACATTGTACTGTATGAACCTTGTAATGGTTTTGATGTTTCTTAAGATTCTGGGAATATTGATAAATAGTATAAAAAATAACTACTGCATGTTTGTTGCTTCTAATCCACTTCACAAATAAAGTCCAAAATTTTGGATGCAATCTAACTAAAATAACATAAATTTAGAGCAATTAAATTAGCATTACAACAGTTTAAAATGGTTCATTCTAATTGTATTGACAAGCCTCACTATACTATACATAATCAAAATTGACACAGGATCAAGTTTCGAGACGCTTTTCAAATCTACATCATATATTGTCGTCCAAATAAGTGTGCAGTAAGGTATTTTTATTCGTTGGGTAATGACCTTTGCTAGTCTCAGGTGTAAAGCCAACATTTTTACGGTTGTACTCGTATTAGTCGAGTGAGCGTTATACAGAAGTGTAATCACTATAGTTTTTGCGAAAAAGTAACGTTTCAATCCACAACGCAGCTCAAATACAAAAATCGTATCATAGATTCAGTCATTGTTTCTATGCTTACACGTTTCGTAAACATTACATTAAGAAGTTTTTGTTATTCTAGTTCATCTAAATTTTAGACCGAAACATACATGCTAATCTCAAATTTTTGGTCTTTTATAATCAGTTTCTCCTTTACATAAAATACTAACCGTCGCATTTGTAGCCTCATTGAAATTAATCCTACTTAATAAAAAACTCTTGATACTGAAATCTAACCATTCTGATCAAATTATTGTTTTATAAAGCATTTGTATAATAAAAATATTATTTCCAATTCTGAAACAGTCGTAAAGATGTAACGTCCCCATGTGGTAAAAAATTTGTAAATAATGACTTGATCCACTTGCCAAGCACATAATTATGTGCGACGGTTAGTAATAATACATCTCTTCCAAAATCTTATGACCTAGTGGTTGAAAACCGACTGTTTGAACCATTAAGCCTATTACATACATAATCTTAGCATTATAACTATTTGAAACATTTTAGCATTATTTATTGTGAATTATTCTTTTTCTTGCTATAACTCTTAGTTGCCTTCATTAGATCAATCAACATCGAGCAGTGAATTCCATTCAAGTTTGTATGGGTTATTAGCAATTCTATTGGCTTCTGTTACTAGCGGCTTTGCTGGTGTTTACCTTGAGAAAATATTTAAAGGGACGTCAACTTCGATCTGGATGCGAAATCTACAGTTAGGTGAGACAGAAAACATTGGTTAATACGAATCATTTTTAAATATAAAACATTGGCTACTAACGTGGTCCTTTATAACTTGCGAGTTTTTTAGTCAAATCGATTAAGGGCACAGCAAGACAAAGGGTACTAATAGGATTCGAGTACATATATACATGGGGAAGAGAATGATTCACCGAACGTTATTTAAGATATTGACATTTGAGCTAGAGAGATATGTGCGTACAAACGTACACGTCTATACAGATAAGACAATGATCATAATGAAATAAACAAATAGACGAACCGGTGCTGTTAGAAAAACATTGTCTGTTAAGTTAATAAAAGGGTTTAACAAAAATTAAACATAGTTGAAATTGATTGTAGAAGAGTCGCTGTATGTCCTTACCACTCCTTTTAGCATATTCAGCGTCCAAATATCAATTATTTGCCTTTCCAAAATTTGTGAAAATCTTTATCTTGATGATAAGAAAAAATTCTACATTTTGATGATACATGCGTTGCACATACTTTTGATAAGCTCTGTCGTAATAATCTTTCTTGTCTCTATATTCGACTTTCGGTAACCTTTAGCTGCAGTCTGTGAATAAAAGTTAACAATTGCTTGTTAAATATATTTATTTGTCGTCAGTTTCCTCAACAACAAAAATCATGTAGTAGGGCTAAGCAATGGTCATGGTCCAATTTTGTTCGTCAATTTTAATGCATTTCCCTACTAATTTTGATATGACCCGTTTTGTAATACACAGACTTGTATGTAGTTAAGGTATAAATGCTGTTTGGCTTGCTGGACTAATAAATAATCACACTATATTTCAAACTGTGCTATTCAATTAAGTTGATCATGGATATATTTGTGCGTAGATCTAGTCGGTCACCCTTGTGACTATGCAACACTTGGTTGTAGGTCCTACGTCTTATAGCGATGCAATTGCAACGTCCAATCAACATAACTCAGGTGACAATCATTACCCATGATTTGCGCCACTAATCTAGACTTAGATACTTACTGAGATCATTAAGATGCTAAGCTTACGCAGTGACTCTTGACAATGCATCCTTATAGATCTAACATTCACTAATGAATTTCTTTCTATATTTTAGGTCTTTTCGGCGTGCCAATCGGTCTGTTTGGAGTTTTCATTAACGATGCATCAAGAGTCAGAACTCTGGGTTTTTTTTACGGTTACACACCTATCGTTTGGATTGTAGTTATTCTTCAGGCATTTGGAGGGCTAGCAATAGCCTTTGTCATGAGATATGCTGATAACATTTTGAAAGGTTTCTCTATGGGTCTATCAATGATTCTGTCATCTCTCATATCTTATTTCCTATTTGATGACTTTACTCCAAACATGTAAGAAATAGCACAATATTGTTTTCTTCAACATTCAGTACGTAGTTCAGTAAACATTACTTTTAAATGCTGTTCGTAATGTGGAAGCGCCTTACATACAATTTGTAGGCTAAGTACATTTATATTTGTAGCTCCTCTAGTTGTCAATCAATAAATTTGTTAGTCTGTCTTTTATAAAACAGATTTAGCTAACCCGTCGGATAATGTCGAGACACAATGAATTACCCTTAGTCAGTTGTACACACACGAAAGTTTGTTTAAAGTATATCCATTTACTAAGAATGTCAAAGGTATCTAGAATGCATCTTTAATTTGAAAAGTTTTATTTTCCAGACGTTAATCACTCACTGACTTACGGAACACTGTTATATAATTAAAAAATTCAATGTATCATGTATTTAAAATGTGGTAGGTTGAACTTCTGATTTGTTTCATGTTGCAAAAAGGACACGTTATTAACAAAATGATATTAGGTGAGTCATATATTTCACTTTATTGTTTGATCTACATCCAATATTAACACCTTAATTGATTCTCTTAAACAAAACTAATATTCATAAATTCATTTTCATTTAGGTATTTATTTGTCGGATCCATATTAGTTATCAGTGCAACGCTAATATACGGTCTCCCAGCAAAGTATAACGCAGTCTCCTCAGTTTACCCAAACGTAAACAAAGCATAAACTTGCAGGAAATGTTGCATCAACAAAGTGATAACAATCAAATTGTAAAGTTTTTTTTTCCGGAAAAATAAAAATGACAATCTGTTATAAAGATCGGATTTCCTTTGTCTTTACGAATGGGACGCTAATTTGCCGTAGACGTATATCTCCATTAGATTCCCTCCCAGCGTTTATTCTACAGGACTTCAACACAACTCAGAACAAGAACACGTGATTAGTCTGACTGAAACGTAAATATATTTACACCAAAAACCGACACAACAATCGATAATAATAATAACGATAAGATAATATATAACTTATCCAACGCCTGTCAGACTATCTACAAGCCTGACTAAGCAAACAACCATTCTCGCCCACACATCACAATCTTATAAAATATTTACGGCGTTGTACAAGTGTTCACTGATTGAGAATGCTGAGGAACAGTGATTTCATTATCACTGGTATCAGAAGTACAGAACTCCGTAAGACTTTTCTGTCTTTGGAATACTGATAATGCGGGTACAGAGTACTTTACTGCTGCCGCCAACGCTAATTCCTCTGCATCTTTTGGTGAATGACCATTATCCAGCTCAGAAAAGTACGTGACAGTAAATGCTAAACCATCATGCATAATATTATGAATAGGGTCTAAATCGACCAGTTCATTACCTAATTCTTCACCTAATACATCGACAGCAGGTGATGGATGAGGAAGATCATGTTTTTGGTATGATTCAACACGGCGACGAGGAGAATGTTGTGCTACGCTCAATCCGCTTAAAGAGTAACACGTGTGATACGCATCAGGGTTTTTTCCAGGTTTATCAATTAATCCACCATCAGAAGTAGATACATTGTATTCAGACGTGAAATTTTTATTTGAAGACGACAATTTTTCACCAGAAGAATCATTTGCATGCACACTCAGACCTGGACGAGTGTAAGAAACCTTTTGGCAGCAGAGCAGTATATATTCCTAGTAAAGAATAAAATTATGAATTGATAAAATTTCATAGTTTCTGAGTCTTGAAAACTATCACAACTTTTATTAGATAAATTAATATCTGATATTGAGTAAATGATTAATTAATCAAGTGGTTTACAGGAGATTTAACCCATTTCGCAGGTAGTTTCTAGTAGTTAGAGAAGCAGTTAGCCCTAAGACAACAATCGACACTTAAGATTCTGATGATGAGCACTATAACAACCAATCAACGAGTACAAATAACTGCTTAGTCGCGATTCAGTAATATATACCATTATCTTAATAAGTACTTGTCATGTCAAATTATGGTTAGAACGTAAGTGAAAATTTGTTAATTTATTAAATTTGAATAAATCTAATACAAGTTTAATAATTGATGGGATATGCCGTAAAATTATTAACTTCTTTCATTGTAAGGATGGATTTTTCCAAGGTGACATAAGATACTGACTTTAAAATATTCAGTAATATATCTCTCCAATAAATATTCTAAACTGATGAAAACTAATTTCAAAAGGATTAGGTCAACAGCCTAGACAGAAAGGTATATTTCAGTGAGTAAACTTTTATTGCCTGTATTAGTACTAATATTTCTTTTCGTTACGCTACTAAAATGATTTGTTTGTTCATTGGAATTGGCATAATGGTTCGGGACCATAACAGCAATCTAGGAAATAGTCTACTATTATATCTATCTGCTACATCAATAGGTTTATAGTTCAGCCTTAAAAAATCGTCAAAAAGGTAATCACACAGGCAGGATGATTTTCATTTGTCAAACAATTCCTAAGTATAGCGATTAAGACTAGAAAAGAACGCTTTACTCATCGATAAGTTCATCATAGTGGTGCTTTAAGCTGTTAAATAAATTTTCATGAATACAAACAGACTGAATGAATTATATCAACTACACAGAAATGAAACAAATGCATTCAACACAAGATTATACCACAGAACCACGAACACTAGAGCGTAATACTGAACTTAAAAACAAAAAGTTATCAAGTTTTTATAATATCGGCAAACCATAGTTACTTTCTAACTCAATAATCGTCCCTACTTAACGTAACGACTTCGATTCATGCCATGATAGGCAATTCGAGTGAAAAGCGACTTTACTGAAAGCGGAGAATTCTGAGTGGTAGTGAAGCTGTCCTGTCAGGTTTAATGTGTCGTAATAACAGTGTAATGTCTCTGACCCACAGCCAGCACTTTCAGTGTGGCTGCTTTTTTGTAAACGAAGGGAGAGGTTATAAAATATCAGCCATAAAAATGCTTTTTAGTGCCAGTGATAAGGTTTAAAAGCCATGGAGCTAATACTACACAACCAAAAACAATAATTTGCGAGAAGACTATTGTTTATGTTTTGTTAACATCCTTTCAGGCGAATAAGACCACAAATATCAGTTTCCAGATGTGAGCAGTCGAGAAGTGTCAACAGCATTCATGTTCATTCTGTTTACCCTTAACCCCTTTCTTCGTTTCCGTTTGATATTTTTATTACCAACCCTTTTTAATTAATATTCAACAACCACTAACAAATGCATGTTGGAGCTTTTATTGTCTGAATCTCAAGTCTTGAAAATTAGATCACATTATCCAAAATTATTCTTCCTACTTCTGAAACCCAAGTTGTAACGGCTTAGCTTTGTTAATCAATCATCTTGTTAATTGTTATTATATAAATCACAAAGGCAATAAAAAGCGGCGACTACAATTATTAGCGGATAACAAAGTTATAAGCACATCGAACGAATTTGAAGCAGAGAGGTGAATATGTGTGTGAGCGAGAGAATACGGAGGCGAATTTATAGTCAAATCGAATCAAGGCAAAGGTTATTAATATGATTCGAGCACATGCACACATGGAGAGGAGAATGATTGATCGAGCGATATTTAAGCTAGAGAGATATGTGTGTAGGCTGTCATGTAGTCAAGCGTACGCATCCCTTGCACAATGTAGGACTAACAAGTGAGTCATATTGATTCTAAACGTAAATCATCAGGTAGAGGTAATAAATTGGAGTTTTGACGGTTTATGCGCAAAGTAGGTGGGATGTGTTACGTATGACCAGAGCTACAGGTTACCTCTGCAATGTATGTTGAAATGATTGTTACGTTGTAATAAGACTAGAGGGGTATAACCAATATATGGCACCGGTCCAGGAAGTCAGTGACTGCCGCTCTGAATTGTATGAAGAGATATGGCTTTATTAATAGGGGACCCCGAAATAACTGTAATCAACATTTGGAGACTAAATTTCAAATATTGTATTATTCCATACTTCTTAGTGATTTACTTCCTCATTTTTAACTATTCACTCGTGCCAACGAGATGACATTCGTTCTTTTGACTCCTTCTAATTCCTCATTGTGTTAATGCGTTGTAACTTGGGATGATAAACACTTGGGCTAGGGGCAACATTATTTACGTTTGTACGTATAATGGGTAACTCAGTAAATGAAAACAGATTTGCGTACACGCCTTCTAATCATGCTTAAGTGTGTAAAACCTATTAACACTACTGGATTGTTTACTCGAGGTAGGAGTTCAAAAAGTTATTCAATGCTTGAAAGTCGGATAATTTAACCAACAATTTATTGGATATTTGTATATTTTTCAGTGACACCTCACTGATGTGTATGGCGTTTTAAAGTATGAACAAACAAATTCCGAGACTAAAAACCTACCAAAATGTTACATGCCATATTTCCAATGCAACATAAATTAAAGAAACTTACTTGCAAGGCAGAAGGGTTAAACAACGTATCAATGTCATTAAGCGCAGGGTCGCCAGACAGCCATAATAGTTCCTCGACAATTGGGAAAACAGCACCTTGCCAAAAAGAGTAGCAACTGTCCACTAACTTATTTGTTCTACCCTTGGAATGAAGATCAACAAGTTATTAACGGAACGAAAATATTTTACGTTGCAGCTTAAATCGTAACTGTTTTAAAAAGTCAAATACAAGTCGAAAGACAGCAGAATTTAGTCAATCTAAATGTTATGAGTACGGTGAATCAACTGAATATAGTTTAAAAATCATAAATACAACCGGTGTAACAAGGACAGATTACAATTAGACTAGTATAATAGGAAAAACAACATGAATTAACCAATCACATCACTTTAATCTACAAGTTATAGATAGAAAATACCAAACGAAGTCCAATAAGGAATTTACTGATATGTAGATTACAGGATCATAGACATTTCATGGCAAAAGTTGGCAATTTCGACAACCATTCCTGTTTCAATTCAACAGGACATTTTCTCATAAAGACATTTTACCTTGTTAATTAATCATAAATGGTATTTTGAACATACGAGACTAACTTTTAATAACTCTACTACATTAATTTTCTGAAAGATCGTTTCAGTACAAACTGATTACCGCAAAAATATTTACATAACAGAATTTATCAAATGGTAACTAGTAGTGAAGTTGAAGATGTGCATGTTGTCCTAATTAGCAGTTGTGTTAATATTTTCATTGAAACAAGGAATAACTACTTCAGTTGAAACTTTAATTTCATGACAAAATTACCAGATAACTAAAATTTATGGAATTTTATGGTGAAAATGTATTACTAAGGTCTTATAAAATCACCAATATAATAAATTCCATTTATAAGCATAAGGAAATCAATTAAATGATAATGAAATGCACTTAAGTGTGGAGTAATTACCTGTTTGCTTATTTAATGTCATAAATGGTTTTTGAAAATAGTTCATTTAAGTATTCTTTTTTTTCAGTTTTTTTTTGTGGTCTAACTTTTGATAAAAAGCTTAAATTCATTTATATTTGCAATCAGATATACTTAAATTGAACTATCTACATTTTATTTACTAATATTTAGTAGTAGAGATTCTCATACGATGGAAAAAGACCATCTGAGGAAACATTTGTCTGGGCAATCTACTGTTAACCACTCGGTTACAATTTCAAGCTAAGTTGCAGAAGTCAGTGTTTGAACAGATATTACATGATAATGGACTTGATTATTCACCGTAATTACTTATCCATTTCTGTGCGTAAAAATCCAAAATCCAAAACATCCCGTACCTGAAAACCACCTTCTGTCGCCATTTGACGATGACTGACCCAATACAATAGCC